AGACGCGCACTGGAGCGAGGAGAGAGAGACGCGCACCGGAGAGAGAGACGCGCACCGGAGAGGACGCACGCCGGAGAGGAGCGCGCCGGAGAGACGCGCACCGGAGAGAGAGACGCGCACCGGAGAGGAGCGCGCCGGAGAGACGCGCACCGGAGCAAGCGAGGTGCAGGGACGCGCACCGGAGCGAGGTGCAAGGACGCACGCCGGAGAGACGCGCACCGGAGCGGGGTGCAGAGAGGCCGGTCATGGAGCAAGGCGCAGAGGCACGCTGGCGAGAGGCACGTGTTGGAGGAGACCTCGCAGGCCAGCTACGCTGGAGAGGCCCACACGCGCAGCGTACCGGAACTAGGATCCAGCGCTGGGGTGGACGGTGCCCTCCATTATACCCGCCAAGAGTGCGTCTTTTAACAGACTTGCCCATTGACTCTGCTGCTCTTCACCATCTTTTTATCTTTTTTTTTATTGGATTTTAATCCATTAAACTTTTTAAAGCCCTGCTCACAATCGCCGCAGTCTGTTTGGTTTTTATGGTTTGTTTTTAAGATGATCGCACCTCTCGGGTGCCACATTATTGCATCTGCTCCTCTTCCACAGACCAAAAAGCAGCTCAGATCCTTCCTTGGGATGGCCGGCTTCTACAATCGCTTTATTGCAAACTTCTCAGCTAGAGCGGCTGCCTTGACGGATTTGACGAGTTCACGGTGCCCAAGTCAAGTTCAGTGGAATCCAAAAGCGGTTGCTGCTTTTCAAGACATCCAGCAATCTCTGAGTGAGAATCCAGTTCTTCATAGTCCTGATTTTGAAAAGGATTTTGTACTGCAAACAGATGCTTCTGAAAGGGGTGTTGGGGCAGTACTTCTACAGGGATCACCAGGGGACCAGCATCCTATAGCTTACATCAGTCGTAAACTGCTACCCCGGGAAGAGCGCTATGCCACAGTGGAGAAGGAAGCTTTGGCTATCAAATGGGCACTTGATTCCTTCAAGTACTACCTTCTTGGAAGGAAGTTTATTTTGCAGACCGACCACAAGGCACTTCAATGGCTAAACCGCATGAAGGACACAAATGGAAGGATAACCCGGTGGTACTTGGCTTTACAGCCATATCCCTTTGAAGTCCAGCACATCCCTGGGAAAGAAAATGTGACGGCTGACTTTCTCTCTCGCTGTCCTGGTGACAGTTTCGAAGAGGGGGGGTGTGTGATGGTCACATGGTCAGTAACCCCACACAACACCACTTTTTCATAAGTTTTTTTTAAATCAGAGTAGCATAAATATATTGGTTTGTTTTTGACAATTTTGAAGACATTAGTTCCAATTGTAGCGCGCACATTTGGTTAACTTTTGTTTAATTTTGTCAAATGCTTAATATATTTTCTGCTTTCTTTTCTGGTGCTGTGGGAGTGCAATCAACTGGGGGAATGTGGCTGACATCATGGACTGATTGGGTGGTACCATCTAGAGTTCCACTATGGGGGAAGACCATGGACTCCACATTTTAAAATATGTTGCATAATTTCTTCTTCTTACTTTTGTGATTTGCTCATTTTGTTAATTTGTATATTGATTGTTATGTAAGTTTAATCCTTAAGCTAACTGTTTAGTTATTTTTTGTTAATTTGTTGTAGATGTTCTCCCTACCTCTTCCTCAGTGTGCCAGTCTGGTCTGATCAGCCAGTATTTAAGTCCCCTTTGTTTGCTGTGTGTCAGGTCAGTTTTTTGTTTGTTCAGTTAGTTTGAGGTTTCATATGTTTGAACTTAAAACTTTTTTGCCCTTAGTTAATTTCTTCATTTGACCTCTTTTAAGGGCCCTGAATTTTTTGTTTGGATTATTGCTACTTTGGGGAAATAAAACCCAGTTTTTTGACATTCACCACTGTGTCCTCATGCTTGGCTGGCTCGGTCCTTCACACCTTCTTTCAGACTAATCTGGGTTGATAAAATTGCTATTCTGAACCACAGAAGACTTGAACCCCGAGTTTAAGTTGTGAAGCATGTACACATATGCAGATATGTGTAGTTCTTTATATTCCATCCATCCACTCATTATCTGACACGGTTGTCCCAATTGGGGTCGCGAGGGGTGCTGGTGCCTATCTCCAGCTGTCAATGGGCGAGAGGTGGTGTACACCCTGGATAGGTCGCCAGTCCATCGCAGGTTCTTTATATTCATATATATATATATATATATATATATATATATATATATATATATATATATATATATATATATATATATATATATATATATATATATATATATATATATATATATATATATATATATATATATATATACTGGAAAAGGTTTAGAAGTTATTAATTTTTGCCTGCAGCCTCATGTGCTGCCAATTATTCAGGTTTAACTGCTATTTTCTTAACTCATCATGGTTTTGAATACTGTTAGAAATTAGCCGTTTAAATTCAGCAAAATTTACAAGGCAAGAAATGGGTTTTCTGAAACATGCAAAGCAGATGTAAATATTGGGGAATCCTGAAAATCTACATGTCTTTTTAACGTCATTAGAATACGGAATCAATTCCTGACAGTTCAAACTTCAAATCTAACCCTCTATCAGAAGTAAAAAAAAAAAGAAAAAAAGAAAATGGCAGCATCTGTGGGTTTCAGAAATGTTTTTTTTTACTTAACTTAAATGCAGCATTGGAGTCTCGTCATCTAATTGTTTTCACAGCCAGATGTACCTTGTTTGAACTGAAGGGACTGGACAAAATATGTGTCCCTTCAATACCAGGTTCTTCATCTCATCTAGAAGAAAGAAACATATTCCTACATCTCACACCACCATATTTCCTAACCTAAAGGATTGCTAGTTTAGAGAGTTTGTTTTCCATCATTTCCATACTAATATCATCTTTGTCACATCTGGCATGAGCAGCTTCCTCCACATGTTTAATGGTTCCTAAGTGGCTTCGGGCAAATAGCAATTCTTATGGCTTTCCTCCTCACTTTTTTTTTTTTTTTTTTTTATATAGTCCAATATGTGCAGTGCTCTGCCACTAGGTGTCACCTCAACAAATTCTCTCACCCTTGGCTGGATGTTTCTGGCTCCTCCACAAACAATTACAATGAGCCTTTTTGGTCCCTTCCATTCATGCCAGTTTAAGTCACTTTACACATTTTGCTAGGTTTTGGAGTATTATTTACTTTTTTTCTGCTTCACAGTTTGTTCTTTGATCTGTCTTCTTTATCTTCATGGTGCTCTGAGGTTATTTATGTTCTTTTACTAACCTCTAAGACCTTAACAGAACAGCTGAATTTATGCAGGGATAAAATTAGACCATGACCAGAGCTAAGACTCCTACTTTTCCTTAACATGTGCCTGAAAGGACCTGAAGATGTCTGCTGTAGCTGCTCCCATGATCAAGTGCTTGAACAACTGGCAGAAATAATAATTGAACTAATCTGACTGTATGATCTGGTTGAATTGTCTCTGTAGTAGCGTACCTTGAGATGAGATGAGTTGTGAATTGACGCTATATATATATATATATATATATGTATATGTATATGTATATGTATATATATGTATACATATATATACATATCCATCCATCCATTTTTTATCACGCTTTATCGAAACTTGGGTTGCTAGGAGTACTGGTGCCAGCTGTCAAGGGGCGGAAGGTGGGGTACACACTCCAAGGCCTTAACAGAACAGCTGAATTTATGCAGGGATAAAATTAGACCATGAACTACCAAATCTTTACACATCACACAGGTCGCCAGTCTATCGCAGGGAAACACAGAGACAAACAGGACAAACAACCATTCACACACTCACACCTAATGAGAATTTAGAGAAGCCAATTCACCTCAAATTTAGGACTGTGGGAGTACCCGGAGAGAACCCACGCATGCACAGGGAGAACATGCAAACTTCATGCAGAAAGACCCCGGACCTGGAATCCAAATTGGAACCTTCCTACCAACAGTGCTACTAACTGCTCCACTGTGCAGCCTGGCACTATATGAATTAACTGAATTAAATAAGTTGCTGCTAGGGACTGATCAGAACTGGTCGGATCGCCTGGGGGAGGGCATGAAAGTTTCAATAGACCTATAACACTAAATAAACCTCAGGGAACACCACTGTTGGTAGGTTCTGATCTGTTTTCCCAATTCACATGGCTTATTTTCCCCACAACTGTCCACTCTTTATTCCGCTGAAGCATGTCACATTAAATCTTGATAAAGTTAATTAAAATTGGGACAAATTGCGCAAAAAATGTAGGCTCTTTATTTTAAAGTTGGAACCATTTTAATAAAATATTCTCACTAATTACAACAAGGACAAAATATGAATATATTTTTGATAAAGTAAGTCTTGTATTGGCATTGTGTTCAACTTCTAATAACTGATGTGACTTTAGAATTGCATAGTGCATTTTTAAGACATGAACAATGATATGTGGACAGAATATTAAAAATAAAATAAAATTAAGTCTAATTCTAATCTTGACTTACTATGAATGTCTTTGCAAATTTGGGCATTCATTCATACAAAGGGTCTTACTTTGCATTTTACCTCTTCTTGCAAATATGAGCCTCTAGGTGGCAATAGAGAAAAGGAGTTGAAAACCAGTTTGCATGTCTATGAAACTAACCAAACATCCTGAGACCCCATCAGCTGCCGTTACTTTGATCCCCCTATTTGGGTTGTTTTCGTAATGATTTTTTGGATTTTGTGGTTTTGAGCTGTAAAGTGTAGGTAATCTATGAAATAGGGGGCAATACTTTAACCAATCCCACATATACTAGTCTTGTGTTGAATCAGCACAGCTTATGAGTGAAAAATACAGCAGAAATGTAGATGAGGCAGTGTATCTACAATTTTTTTTATCTGTTTTTAAAAGCTTCTGGGCACTGCAAACTGATTTTACTCATTGTTCCAAAATATTTGAGGATCAGTCAGTGATTTTTGAGAGAATCTGTCAGAAGGTGGAGTTGGGTCAGGCCAATAAATGTGGACAAACCTAATAGATAAGTGAGACAGAGGGAGGCAGGCACTCACACATACAGTGAGAGAAAGGGGAAACAGAGGAGGGGAGGAAACTATTCACTTTTGTTTTTTTCCACAACTTGACATGGGATTTCATAAATTCTTTACTGGAGTCTGAACCAGAGAGGTTTGCTCAAACTGTAAGGAAGGAACCAAAGGAAAGATGAAGGACTTGATGCAATCAGTAGAATTAGGGGTATCCCAGCGGAGTCAAGTGGAAATAAAGCAACCCAAAGTTTGGTTGAGGAGTGAACTGTCACGAGTGGGACTTGCTGAATTTCTTTCAACATATGTCATGATGGTAAGAATGGATGTATATTAAAAAATACTGTATATACTATATATTAGACAGCACTCAGTTCTTTTTTTTCAAAATGTAAAATTAGGTGCTTATGTATGACAACCATATTCCATTAATCATTAATACTATGCTCTTTACCCTGATAACCTGCTCAAACTCTCCAATACACACAAACAAGCAAGTTTGTCACGTGTCACATGGAAGTGAGCGGGGATTGGTGCGGGAACAAGGAAATGCTGTGTCACAAGAGCAATGGTCAGGCTGCCGGCCCCAAGGATAGAGTTTCAAAAGGCACGCTAACTGTCCGAGGTTACACTGACTCATTACCTAAAGCACTGGGAAAAATTAGATGGACCTATCAGTACAGAAACAAAACATCCCAATAAGGAGGGATTTGGTACAGATAATGACATTTTGAATAAAGGCAATGACACCTTTGACCAACATAACCATCATTTTTAAAATCAGCATCTAGCTTCCACCGTTTCCTGCTGTTTGTCAGTGTCAGCTGTTTTTTCTTTGAACAGGATGTTTAACAGAGTTCAAAAGAGTTCAGTGATAAATCATTTAATTACGAAGATGATTTTATGCTTTCAAAATGTAAAATGTAAAAGAAAGAAAAAAACATCTTATAAGCTAATGAAATAAAATGACCAGCATATTTTGGCTGTTTTTATTTACTAGTTTCTTTAAACCGTCTTTGTATCGAGACAGTGCCGTTTTATCCCTTCTAATTTCTATTTTAGACCCATTAAGAAAAACAAATTAAGAAATAAATGAAATACATTTTTGTTATGAAACTATTAAATGTCAGTTTTTTTAAGTATTTAAAAAGATGCTGCTGGTAGATCTTATTTATTAGTTATCAGAGTAACTTAATTATGATGGATGAATGAAGCCAAATACAATACAGGAGACCAAACTGCTAAAATAAAAAAACACCAAAGATTTGAAATGAATTGAACTTAGCTGATTTTTTTAAAGATTTAACAGAAGGTTTCCAGTACAAGTATTTTCTTTATTATATTCACTACCTCAGCTGTTTTTCCCTGTATCCCTATTTATTAATTTAATGCTGATTAGTTGTGTTATCCCTGACATTTATAGCAGGAGTGCCTGGGGATGATTTGCAAAATGTTTTTCTTAATTGGGCCACCAAGTTTATATATTTATTTATATAAACTTTCTTATGTCCGCTAATTACCCCTACCATTTAAATATATATATTTGGGATACATTTTATGCAATGTTCATTTGATAAAAACTGTTGCAACCATCCCTATCTGTGGGACGGGTGCAACAACTATCAGGAACAGATGCAACATTCATTCAATTTCACAAATCAGTTATTTTTTTTGTCTCAATGAGCATAATTAATAATGCACTGCAACCTTGGGTTCTCTGAAAAGTACACAACCATGGATACTGTGTCTCTAAGCTAAACAATTGTATTTTTAAACAGCAGACACAATTTATTGTGATATTTTTGAATTGCCAAAAGATGGTTTTGAAATGAAAAAACAAACAAACAAAAAACGTTTTAAAAACTGATTTTTAGACCAGACATCTTATTAAACTGTTCTCAAAAAGAAGTGTCTTTTTTTCTTTCCCACAGATATTCAAATGATAATAATTTAACAACCTCCGACCTCCCCCACCAGACAGATTAATAGTTTTGGTACATATAAAAATCCCCTCCAGCTCTGCAGGCTCTACGGGCCTATGACCTGCACATCCAGCACTGTGGCCACTCTTCCCTTTGTGTGGCTTTCAAGCTTGGGGAAAGTCCTCAAGCTATCAGCCATGAGAGGACACCATGTGCTCGGTAGATTTGAGCACATGCTAACCATGTGACTTTGACGTAAATTAATTAATTGATCAATGATTTTGTCAAAAGCTCAGAACGTAGGACTCAAAATTCAAGCAGACAGATCAGAGTGCTTAAAAAGCAAGTGTTTATTAAATGCTCTGTGTACAGCGACTCGTCAGCTGGAGCAGGGTCACTGGATACTCTGTAGCGGTAGAAACTCAGGTTAGTGACTTCAAAACTCAGACTGGAAACGATAATGAGCATCAAGGTCACTAACTTGGTTAAAGTTCAGTCTCAGCCCAGAAGAAGGAGTGGAGTCTGGAGGGATTGCTTCTCCTCATCAAGCATCAGGACTGGCCCCCAGAGTTTCGGGAGAGAAGCAGATCAGACCGACGAGTCAGCAGACGCAGAAGAGCAGAAGAATCCGGAAGGATTAATTCAAAGCCAGGGTCAAACAAGGAGCAGGTTTTCAGACCAGAAGATCAGAGATTCAAATAGGTACCGAAGGAGTTTCCAAGCCAGGGTAGGGAGACAGATCCAAGGTCGTAAGCAGGCAGAATCCAGGTAACAGTCCAAAGACAGATCAGGCAAACATGCAGAACAAGCAGAACATGAAACTAGTCAGGATCAGGTAATCAGGAACACACAGGTTTGCTAGAAAACTCTCACACATGGCTTTAATAATCTGACACTGATGGCTGGGAACAGACAGCTTAAATAGAAAACAGGAACAGGTGGATCAGATGAGTGACAGTGAGCGCTGTGCTGAGCTAAGCAGGTGGAAGAAATTAGCTAAATCCAGCCATCAGTACCCAAATACCCAAACATTTTACTCAAGTAAGAGTACCATTATATCAACATCATTAACTAAAGTTTAAGTAGAAAGCAGTCTTTCAGGAAATGACTCAAGCAAGGTAAAAAGTAAGATTACTTAAGTACTGAGGAATTATTGGTTCATAATAAATGATTAAATGTATAAAATTATTCAAACAGGCAGATAGTTATTTGCAAATGCTGGTATTTACAGTAATAAAATAAAGAAAACAAACAATCAAACAAACAAAAGTACAACATGAATATAGAGTAAACTTCAGGCAGAAGAAATACTTTTCTAAAATAATATTTCTTTCAACATTAACCTATAAAACCCATCTTCAGATAACGAATATATGTTAGAAAAGGATAAAGAGCTTCCATCTACACCCTTTACTGTATTGTCACCAGAGCTTGAATAGCTCTAGTTCCTACCCTCCTTTGTTTCTAACTAGACAAGTCAGTTTTTCCCAATCAGGCCACACATCACCTCCTTAGAATTAAATGACAGTTTTCCGTTGCTCCTTGTCATGTGCTTGCCATGTTGATTCTCAGTGGCCCCATTTTGTGTTGCTCTCAAGCATATTTCCTTGTTATAGTGGTTTCCTTTAAGACTCTACAAGCTTGTCTTTCATACTACATGCCTTCCTATTGTCTGCTTTTTGGGTAATACTCCTACAAACAAAACAGAAAGATTTTCCCAACAAGCAACCGACCTTGCAGGTACTTACAACTGTCTGTAAAATGTACCCTGTTATAAAAACTATAGCGTGAAGGAGTCCACCAAAATGCATCTGCATCTCTCCATTTCCCTCTCCTCTCTGTTTCCTCCTCATTTCTGCATCCTTGTCTGAATGTAGTACTGTAGATGTTTACTCCATTCCATCCCACCAACAGAGATGGGGGAGCAATCCTACACATCCCAATCCAGCTGTTTTAACACCATGGCTCCAGTTAACAGCTGCAGCAGATTTTCCACATTAGGTGTCAGAGTCTCAGTGACACAGGTTTCTCTGGCTCCTGCAAACCAGCTTTGCTTTCTGCATCAGAGGCCTCACCTTCTCTTTTACAAGCTTCGGCGCCACCTGCAGTTTCAGCGCCACCTGCAGCTTCAGTGGCAGCTTTTCCCCTCACACCAGTTTACAGCAGTGCCTCCGGCAACATGCTTTTCTCCAAATCATCCTTGTGGTTTCCATTAGCTGTAGAAACAGCTTTGGCTTCAGAGCAAGTTATTACATTACAGCTTAACCCCTCTGCGATATTCTGTTTTATTAAACTGAATATTTAATTTTTTTTTTTAAACTCTCACTGTCAGACACTTACATTTCAAAAACATATTTCTCACAATCTGAAAAAACTCTCCCACTTCTTTTTCTTTAAAACTCATTTAAAAGACAACTGCATTGTGTCTGTAGAGCTCTTAGTAAGTGAGAATGAGAAAACCACTTTAACTTTGAGCAGAAATGGTACAGAAACAAACAAACAGCAGGCAAAGAAAAAAGGAAATAACTGTGGTACACATTGTTATCTAGTCCAGTGAACAAAAAAAGTTTTTTATGTAATAAACATGTGTCTGAAGGTGCACGGTGGGTGGCCATCAAAATGCTGTCATGATTTATGCTTTTCACAGAAAATAAGACAAGGCTAAAAAATTGTGATTTTGAAAAAAAAAAAGAAAAAAAAAAGTAGTTTACAGGTTTTTGATTGAGCTTCTCCTAGATTATTACCTGATGCCGGCTGCAAAACCAAAACCTTACTTATAGCTGCCACAACCATAGCGATGTTGGTTTACACCACAAGCAGCATTTTATCTCTGCCTCTTCACATCTATCAGGAGGGAGGAGGATGCTTTACTTCAGTGTCACGATCAGATCCAATAACAAGCAGGCCAAGGAGAGTCAATCTTCTGTTTCATGCTCCTGCATTTTCACAGCAGGTTATTCATGATCTGCATCTTCAAACTCTTTCCTATTTGCTCTCCTTCTCTTTTTGCCGTCTGTTTGACCAACTTTATTTGGGTTGTTTTTATGATTTGGGGGTAACATCGCATTGTCAAAACCCTACTGATCCTCATTTTGAGCTGATTATGTCATTCTAGTTTTGCACTCTAAAGGGATCTGAAAATAGTGCACAGAGGCTAGAATGTTTTAAACATACTTATCTCTATTGCTTTAGCTAGATGTGTAGCTGCTTGTTTGACTGACTGGAAGAATTCAAGCTCCTTTCTATTTAAAGATGTGAAAATGGCAGGTATGAGGAGATGAGAGTGTGATCATCCTCACCTAATCAGCATTTGAGACTTCACTGAGAAGCTGAAAGATGATCATTGATAAAAAAAAAAAAAAGTTGATGATTTGAATTGATCTTAAATCAAACTCAACAGAAAAAGAGGAGTAAAAGCTAATTCTGATATTTAAAGGTTGATAATGAATTACTAATGCATCAAGGTGTTGCTTAATGGCAGATTGGTCATTGTTGTGGATAGTAAAATGCTGTATGTCTTATAGTATAATGTAGATCACAATGACCAAAACAGAATATGATTATCAGTTGGGATTAAATTAAACTAAATTAATTTTTTATGAACCTGAATAAAAAAATCCTTATCATTCCAATGTGTACAGGCATTAGGTCTGGGTTCTGTGGCCCAGGTTGTGACCGGTCAAGGAGTATTCGGACAGTACCTCAGCATCAACCTCGGCTTTGGACTAGCTGTTGCAATGGGGGTTCATGTTGGAGGAAATGTGTCTGGTGAGCAAAAAGACCTTTAAAATGATTGAGAAAGCTTTTGTGTCCATGTGTGGATGACTTAGTTTTTTAACCCTTTTATCTCCTGTCAGGCGCTCATATGAATGGAGCAGTCTCCCTCACAATGTGTGTCTTTGGCCGCCTGCAATGGAAGAGGCTGCCCTTGTATATTTTTGTACAGCTTTTGGGGTCCTTCCTCGGTGCAGCAACAATTTACGCTATTTACTACGGTAAGTCTATAGAGGTCATATACACCAGACTGCATTATCAGCACTTTTTATTCGTTTTCAGATAAAAAATTATGTGAATTCACTTACAGAGGCCATTTATGACTATTGTGGTGGAAACCTGACTGTTACGGGTGAAAGGGCCACAGCTGGGATCTTTGCCACCTACCCTGCACCATACCTCTCCTTGATTGGTGGCTTCTTTGACCAGGTAGCCATGATATTCAAATTCATTTTAAATGATATCCATCCCTTTTCCTTCTTGAATTGTTCTACAAAAACCTTTATTGTTTCCATAGTCTAATTTGATAATAAAGAGGTTCAAAATATAGATGTTAGAGGAGTTGCTTTAACAGTCTTGAAAATAAAACAAAAGCTAAACGAAATGATCATGCTATGATTTTTTTTTGTTTAAACAACATGCTTGTTTTGAGATTTGTTTTCTTTTGTGTTGTTTATAGTAAGTTAAGCCAGTGGATAAGAAATACAATATAATTTAATTGAGAAAAATCGTAAAGGTTATTAAATATTTGGCAACGGGTTAAACACAAAAATTCTTGACTTGTTCTTTAAGCAGTACTAAATATTATAAAGTGCTACATACAGTTATCACGAAGCAGAAGGAAAGGAATTGTGTTGATTTTTACTCAGCATTCCTAAATTAATATATGCTGTTAAAACTGTTCATTTTTGGGGGGCATTTGTTTCTACCATCTTTGCAAACCTAAAGCTTTTGACTACAGCCACAATCTCAGTCTGATTGGATGGAGAGAACATGTGAACCTATATTGTTCTTATTTTCTTGTCTGCCTGTCTGTCTATTCCTTTGGGAAATATATATTTATAAATATAAATATAAAACTTTAAGTGCTACACCCTTTACAGTGAACAATGCACTATCCAGTTGCATTTTATCAATGATTAAACAGATCTAAACCAATGACTATTCTCCTATCCATCTTAACTTTTTTGTATGCGGATTTATACATTTTAAACCTTCTAATGTCCATTTTGTATAAAATAGTGTTATAATTATTTGTGCTGTGTGTGCCAGGTGTTTGGTACAGCCATGCTGCTGCTGTGCCTGATGGCTCTATCCGACCAAAAGAACAAACCAGCTGCTAGAGGGGCTGAACCCATCGCTGTGGGCCTCCTTGTTGTTCTTGTTGGAATTTCTCTGGGCAGCAACAGTGGTTATGCTATCAACCCAACAAGAGACATTGCACCAAGGATCTTCACTGCAATTGCAGGCTGGGGATGGGATGTGTTCAGGTAATCACAGAGGATGTTTATGCAATGCTAAATTAGATTATTATTTTTTTTTTTTTTGCTTAGTCATCCTAACCTTTTTTTTCTAAATTTGGTGTTATTCTCTCTGTAGGTCTGGAGATGGGTGGTGGTGGGTCCCTCTAGTGGCTACTCCCATTGGAGGAGTACTGGGAGCTGGGCTGTATAAGGTTTTTGTAGAAATGCACCACCCACCGTCCTCTGGACAGGAGATGGAGCCTGACGAAGAACAGTCTTTCCCGCTGAAGAATAAAAGAAACATCTGTTCTGATGTATGTGTGAAACCAGAAACAAATGGAAACAACTAAACGCTTGTACAGCTGTGGGGATTTGAGGATGCTGCTGAAACCGTCTTAAAACAACACCTACAATGTATAAAGTCACAAACAGATCAATCTGTGACTGTTTTTCTGCTTAGTTAGCAATGCTTAACTACACTGCAATTACGATATTTAAAACAAAGATAATTTAACTGCAAAACAGATGATTAAAAAAAGCCCTTCTGTTTTGTAATTAGTACAGCAGACTATGAACTTTGTTCATAGTCTGCTGTAAGGAAAGAAAATAAACTTAGGTTGACCAAGAGTTAAACTGGTGGAAACAGTTAACTGTTGTTAACACTGTTAACAATGTGGTGTCATCTTTATAACTTCTTTACAAAATTAAATGTATGTGATCATCATTTTTATTTAATCTCTGATTATTAAAACTTACAGAGTAAGAGAAATAAACAGTCAGACAATTATTACCGTATATAAAAGAGCACTTTTACTTTTATTTTAGGACTGCTTTAATATAAGAAAGGATTGAGTTCTTATGGATCTCTTACAACTAAAAGACAAACATTCACATGACGTTGGGTTGAGATATTTGTCCTAGGGTAATATCTATAATGTTGTCTATTTTGCCATCTTATTTATTTTTCATCCCTGTCAAGTCTTGAGGAAGTTAACAAAATAAGCACCACAGAAATTAAGAAGTAGGCTATCCTACAGTGGAAATATGCGGCCACCTAAATGGCATAGTGGTGACATTACTAGAAGACAAATAATTCATGACCAATCAGCAGTTCTTGTTTATCATTTATTGCAACAAAGACGTAAGTCTTAAACCTTTAAAATAAAGGGGGCTACTTTTTAAAAATGTTTTACAGAACTGTTTTAAACATGTTTATACATCAACATTAAAAACAAAAAGTATAGGCATTTTATTCCAAACATAAAAGCAACTATTATTTTAAATTATGAAATATAAATATATACATTTTACAGCATTTATTTAGTTTTGCATTTGTAATAAAAAAAAAAAAAAAAGAAATAAGGCAATTTTTTGGAGAAAGTTTGTATTGAAACAAGTGAGTATAGTATAGATTGATATATTTCCTGGCAAAGTTTTAAATATTTCAAAATCCCCTATATCTTTTAAATACAACATTGAATACTACCTTTTAGTCTTGCTGTTCAATTCCTTGTTAGCATGCTTTGCAAAATTGCAAAACATGCAGCAAACAGCTGATGACAGCTCATTACTTCAAGATGCGTTTGGAAGGTAGACGAAAACATAACAGCCTTGCAGACAATGTCTTAGATTGGATTTCAGCGTTTTGCTCCACTTGGTCTTCCTGTGTTGCCTTGTCCTTTAGCAGGGGGTCCTGAGCTGCACGGGGTCGCCTGCTTCTTCTTGGTGGGTGATACCTTGGTTTTACCTTTGAAGACTTTTGTGGGATCAAACGTGTTCAGCAAAACGTCCCCAGCAGAATCCTTCTCGCTGAAAATCAGGGGCTTGTAGAGGGCGGCCCACTGCTACAAAAGAACAAACAAAAACAGCATGTTAGAAAATAAACAGAAGACGGAGTTACACAGGAAAAAAAAATTCAATAAAATGTTTTAAATTCAGAACAGAGGAAAGAAGACGAAGCATATTCATCTTCTCATTGATAAAGTTCTGCAGAACTTTAATGTCAGGTTAGATCATAAACTTTAAAGATTTAAACTTAAAATTTAAACAAATCATTGAACACTTTTGTTTTTAAAGTTTTTTTTAATGAATTTTGGCCAAACATTCTGTTCAATTTAAAAACCCAATAAAACTGCAGTCAGGGCAGGGGTTCTAAAAAGTTCGACCTTTTTAAATCCGGATACGTATATGACTATATGTAATTTGCTATCATTATCTGTAAGGAAAAAAAAATCAGAATAAATACAAAATAAATAAGGAAACCAGTACAATGCTTCTGAATTAGTTGGTCGTAAATGGTTATTTTACTGCTTTGTTGAGATCAATGTTAGATCAGCACATTTCATTTAATTGATACTTTTGTAACCAAACAGAATTATCCTACATTAAGTAAAGACCCCAAAGTTTAAGTATGTGATGGGTGATACCTTAATTCATTTATTTAGTGTAATCATCATAACAAAACTTAAACTCGGACCAAGTTTAGGAACCATAGGTCGAAGTTAAAACCCTGAATTAAGAAAAAAAAATGCAAAACTGTCTTATTAATGATTAATGACATAAGAATAAACAACAAATAGCCATTTAATGTAAGAAAATTATCCTTGTATGAAGGAATGTTCAGCAACTGGAAGAAGAAAACATGAAACATGACACTGCAGGCACTGAACATTCCTCTACACCTCAACAAATGACAGGACTTTTAAACTGGTCAGGAATGGTGCCAAGAGGTCAACAGCAACACCAACAGCTGCAGGAATTCCTAATACAGCTGCGATCTAAATGCAACAACAACCTATTGGTTTTTCAATATGTCTGGCCTCAGCAACTGGGTTACAAGAGGGATTATTTATCTCAGTATGAAAACAGCCAGGATTTTCCTGAAGGTATGTTTGGAACACGAAGAGCACTACACACCAGTAAAGCACTATACCCCTAGGGGAACATGGGGGTGACAGTGTCATGCTAAGGGGTAATGTTCTCCAGAAAACCAAAGTTTCTTAGTTAGTAACGTTTTTAAATACCTCCAAACATTGAGATGTCTGCTAAAAAATGGAAGACAAAGAGTTTTTTTCCCCCAGCATCTCAGGGAGCTCAAATACGCATTCCAATCAACAGAAGAATGACCTCATGAAAGGTAATTAAAGGTTTTGAAAAAGACCATTAAAAAGGTAAAAAAATCAATCAATATCCTTAAATTAAGTCAAAGGGTGCTGTGACAAAACATGTTTAAAGGTGCACATATATGCAACTGGGCTATTGCTCTATTTCCTTTTTTCCAATTAAAAAATATTTCCGTTTTTTAGTGAAATTGTAAAGGTTATCTATATTCTTAAATCATAGATCAGTTTTATTTTATTCATCACAACAAACAGCTATTAGTTTTTACCCATTAAAGAGCCCCTGAAACAATAGTTGACGAAATAACAATGACTGGAAGTACTAATCAGTGATAAAGCAGTCCGTCTGTTCTAGTTTAGTTTTCTGTCCTTTGTAACACTTTCCTCTAAGCTTAAAATTAGACCATTTAAATGGTACTAACATCAAACTTTATAGCATAAACTGTGTGCAAATTAGGTTTTGATGATTGACTTCATTTTAATTTGTACCACATTACATTTTCTCCAGTTACTCCTAATTGTTACCTAGAGTCTATGGAAACTACCTCCTTTGTAGTCATGTAAATATACTCACACATTTCTGCAGTGGCCTTAAAAACTAGAACTGAAACAAGATTTTCCATAAACTGTTGAAACATAAATCTAACTTGAATTTAAATCCGACCAAACTGTTTCTCTTTTAGGTATATTAACAGTGCCTAGATTAATATGATGTTAGTTGTTAATATTATTGTAATATACTGCAAAGTGAGAATTATAGATTACTTTTTTAAGGTGAGAAGTTTAAATACAACATGATTATCTTATGTTTAAAACATCTACAAGTTCAGATGCTGATGATGTCACAGTTTTGTAAGCTTGTGATTTACAACATCTGGGTCAGTTGGAGGCACTTATCTGAATGCATTTTAAAGCAACAAAGCAAGCTTCCCTATTTCACAACATGGACAAATCAAAATAAATCAGCCAAGAGCTGTGGACCAAAAGATGTTTCATCCTTTCTTGAATACATTAAGGAGATGGCTCCATGTTAATTTAATTAAATATCTGATTCAAAAAGCAGGTCAAGGTCCAGACAAAGCTGGTAAGAGATCCTCAGCCAGTACAGTGAAACATCCTTTACCAAAGGTGGATGGAAAAGTCAATCAGTGACGCAGAAGCCATTACTCCAAACACACTCGGGGACAAAGACCTTCATTTTTACAACTACACCCAATTAGAAATGAAGTGTTTGATTACAGTGATCGTTTGGAGGGGAAAGGGGGAAGCTTGCAAGACATCAGATACAACCCCAGCTGGGAAGCAGGATGAGGTCATGTGCAGTTGATTTGCTGCAGGAGGGACTCATGCACCTGACAATACATACAGTACATACAGAGTGCATAATGAAGAAAAAAAAAAAATATGGAAATATTGAAGCGACATCTCAAGACAACAGCTAGGAATTTACAACTAACTACCCTGCAAAACAGCTTTATGACGACAAAGTAGGGCTTGGGGATATGACCTAGGAAAAAAATCTCAGATTTTAACATTTTTAATTCAATTTACAATTTTTTTTCCACATTCTGAATGTTTTAAAGTATGCCTTTCAATATACAAACCATTTGTTCTAATACAACCGCATCTAAATAAACTCGCCGTGAACCTGTGTTATGCTAATGTTTACAAGCAGCTTGGCAGAAATGGCAGGTGACATCATCACCGGTAGTTATGATGTCATTTGCTGTTTCATGTGATGCTGTCGCTAGCCTAACTGCAACCTGAGAGTAGTACTGCAGCTAGAGAAATTCTGGGGGGCCAAAAAGGCGTCATTGTTAAAAAAAAAAAAAAAAAAAAAATCATTCCATTTTTTCTTTTAAATTGCTTGAAACAAAAAAAAATAGAACTAATTAATTTCATAATTTTTTTGACCAGGCCTACAACAAAGTCATTATTATAGTGTTTTTTCCTTTCTGCATATAAATACAAGGTTTCATTACAGAGAAATCATGTGTACAAAAAAAAAAAAAAAAAAATCAAGATCCATCAAATTTTACCTTAGCTTGGGGGCTTGGGCCATATGGCGTGTAGTTATATTGCCACTCAGGTAGACCCAGGTGTGTTATCATCATTCTGTAGTAGGCGGTAAATTTTTCTGTTAAAAAATGCCAGTACAGCGAGCGATCCAGGAACCAGATTTCACTCTGCTGTGCAACCACCCCTGAAAAACAGCAACATCGACATAATGCAACAAAAAACATGACTGTTCACATACCTTCTTTATGTTTAGCATTTAAAAATAGGGTGTAATATTAACATGAGCACCTGGAGTGCAGTTTTTGTAAACCAGACATACTCTTCCATTCCCACTGCAGGAATTCAACTCATAAATTCGGCTCCGGGCATCAAAATGAGGCATGGACAGCTTAGGCTCCAATCCTAACAAGAGGAGGCATTAATAAACAAGTAAACAAATATTTACTCTCCAGTCAGCGGCTCATTTATTGCCTTAATTCCTGGGTAAATAAGCTCACATAAACAGAGGTAATTGAAAGTGACATGCAGGATTTGTTGAGTGGAATATGTGTACTCATCAGACAGGTGATTTTTTACCATTTTCTGAGCTGTCCTCCTCCCAGTCCAGGTCAGCCAGAGAGGGGGCATCGGGGTCCAGGGAGGAAACGGGCGTGGTCTGAAGTGTGAGCGGGCACAGCCCGTTCACGCTGTTGATCAACATGCAACCTAAAGGGACACACTTATCTGAAAGACATTATACATTAAGTCAAAAAGGGCTTAATCAGATTCATCCTACACAGAGCGATATTTTTCAATTCTTACTGTTTTTTAATTTTAGCTAACAACCGATGAAATCCTAAAATATTATTAAACAAACCCTAAAACACAGTTTTATTTGTTATGTTATAATCTACAAAACCACTGGGAAGACTGCTAACTTGACAGGTGCTGACAGTTGATGATGCCCTTCATTAGGAGAACAATCCACAAAGTTCATTGCTAAAGAAGCTAGCTGTTCATAGAGGGCTACATCCAGACAAATTACTAGAAAATAGTGCGGAAGGAAAACACGTGCTGTAAAGAGTTGCACAAGCAAAAAGACTAATTGCTAACATGGGCTTCAACCGCTGGATTAATTGTGTTGAGTCACTCCTGAAACCCCAAACATCAGACCTCCAGGGTCAAACACGTTTCCATTTCCTGATGTCAGATGAAAAAAGCTTTTTTCTTTATGTCATACTGAAATCTAAGCACCACACTGCAAATACAATCTAGAAAGAAGTAAACTTGTCTTAAATTAAGTTTATTTAGCCTTAATTTGATTAGGTATATAAGATAATTTGCCAATGGAATGAGTATTTTTATTCTTAAAATAAGATAATTAGATAATATGCTGGTGAAGATTCTCAGTCATCCAGGTCATAACCATTCCAAAAAAACTTAAAAAATAAAGTTTGAAGACGTTTTGCTTCCCATCCAGGGAGCTTTTTCAATTCAATTGCATGTTTTTTTTTATAGCCATAACAAGGTTTCGTTGGGCTACTCTATAAAGCTTGGAACTCAACACCAATCCAGACATTTTGAATTGAATAAGCTTCCTGGACGGAAAGCAAAATATCTTCAAACTTGGAAAACCAATTCCATGTTTTTTTTTTTTGTAATAAGACAATGAAATTGTTTTTTCTTATTTTAAATGTGAATTGTCTTACTCCATTGGCAAATATTCTCATCTCCTCAATTCAAGAAATAATACACTTATTTTAAGAAAACATGGCTTATTTAGATTTAAATTTTTGGCAGTGCATAGCATCAGTGTACTGGACTGACCAGAAAAATGAGCTGATTTAACCCCCACAGAATCTATGGATTCTTGTCAAGAGGAATATTTGACACCAATCCTAGTAATGCAGAAAAGCTGAGCACCTAAGAAGCACAAGAGGTCGACCACCTCCATGCAAATGCTTAGTAAACATATTGTACAGTGCATGGACATACTTCATACATCTGTGTGCCAACAGTTCTGTATTTGAAAAGCATCTGATACTATAGTTTTCTAAAAAAAAAACAACAGAATTTTGCCTAACACACAACCATCAAAATAATTAAGATAAAATGATAAATGTGCAACTAATTTTTCATTTCAAAAACAAAGACATGATGTATCAAGCAGATAAAAGAAACTTAAAAACAATATACTCAAAATAAATCCCTTAATCTGTGCAAAAACGATTAGAATGCAAGACTAAATTCAACTTACGAACCACGTATTTAATAGAGCAATCAGCCTGAATAGTAGGTCCACATTTTACATTTGTGGAGAACCCCCCCACCAGAAAAAATACAGTTAAACCAGCTGAAGGACACAATAGTCAAACAAAACATATCTAAAGGATTTACATAATATACAGATTAAGGAAGCAATCTGGGATTTTTAAGCCCATTTAAACTCCTCAAAGTCCCAAAACAATATGACCCCAACCTCAGAGTGTCTGGATCATATCAATACCCTAAGCCTTGCACTTAACCTGAAGAGGTCTTGGGGCTCCCAATCTCTCTAACAGAAATAAAGTCAGCTGTCCTGGCAATGCATTCCAGCAAATATCCACATCCTTCTGGTTCCCCGGCAGTTTTTTTTTTACAAAAATGTATCTTCTCTCTGGAGAGGGTCCTCCTCTAAATCTTTTTATGAGGCCTGCATATCTCTCATTGCAAAAAAGGGAAAAGATCAAACTCAGTTTTCCACCAAGCAAAATATTTCGGTTTTGTGCTAAATTCTTGCTCAGTGAACTGTCAAAAAATGAAATTATCAAAGGCAGACAATCCTTTTTCAACATTAGATGCCTCTTTGACATTATTTATTAGCCATTGTCTAGTGTTCCTATGTGTATCATCTCCCTTGATGCAGAGAAAGCATTTGACCATGTTAAGTGGGACTCCATGTTTAATGTTCTTGGTATTGGCTCGAACTATAACCCTATTCACATCTTACTCTAACCATCCATACCAACTTTCGGATATCTAAACCTTTAAGCTTTCATCGAGGAACTTGTTAGGGTTGTCCTCTGGCAATTGAACCTGTTGCCATTGCTTTACGATGTTGTGATAAAAGATCTGGGATCTGCAAAAGCGGCATTGGAACATAGGCTCTCAATTTACGTGGATGGCCTTTTACTTTTCTTTTCACATCCATCTGTTACAGTGTCTAATGTTATGTCTTTTGTTATGATCTGAACCTGAGCAAAAGTGAAATATACCCTTTTAACACTGTGGAACAAGTCTTGGACTTTAACAGCAGGCCTTTTAAGTTTGAGAACTCTATATTCTCCTACTTAGGTATTACAGTAATAAGGAGTTATAAGGATCTGTATCAAGAGAACTTTGTCTCTCTGTTTGACCGGATAAATCAAGTGCTTTCTAGCTGTTCACCCCTTTCTATAACCTTACCTTACCAAGATTTCTATATCTTTTTCAGACCACTCCTTTTTTTTATTCCTGGACCATTCTTCTCAAGTTGGACGCTCTCATCTCATCCTACTTATTGCATGGGAAAAACGTCAATGCCTAAAAAAAATATATGTTCAAAAATCTAAGGCAGCTGGCCGCATTGTGCTTCCAAATTGTATTTTCTTTTTTATTATCAGGCAGCGAACGTGTGTTGTTTAGCATCGCTTTCATTTTATTACGAGAAATCAGACTTCCCAGACTGGGTAGAGAAGGAGTGAAGGATCTGCTGGAAATGGTCCACGCTGACCTTTTTGGGATCACGCTTCCATCACAAAAAAATATTGCAAATCCTCCGATGTTGTTTATTAATAAAATGTTTGCTTCATTTCAACAGGTCGGCGGTAAAATTTTATTCCCCAATCTAACTTTTTAAGGTATCTTCAAGCTTGTCATTTTAATCACCTCTAATTTTTCCAATTCCTCTATTTTAATAAATATCAATATTGTTGATCCTGTTCTCTCTCTGGATCATAAGAACAAATATCGCATATTGTTTATCAATAGCACACTATAGGATCTGAGTGATGTTTCCTCAGATAGATTTAAATCTGCTTGGGAAGAAGATCTGGGTTCCCCTATTTCAGAATACTTTTGGACTTCTATATGTAGACGTGTAAGCTCTACTTCTTTAAATGCAAGACTTGTCGAATTCAAATCAAGGTGGTACATAGAGCTCATATCTCTAAGTTAAAAAGATTTTTTTTATGTATCCAGATGTCAGCCTGCCCTGTGTGAGGTTCAAATATGTTGATATAAATAGGAGTCTCGTATCCATATGTTCTGGTTCTTCTCATGTATGAACAAGTATTTGATAGAAAGTTTTCAGAGTCTATCACGTTCAGTGGATGTACTTTTAAGCCCTCCCCTTTGATTGTCCTGTCTGGTGTATAAATCTTTCAAAAAACACAGTATTTTGTCTTCTACCCATCTCAGGTGCATATGAGCTGTTCTACTCAGTTGAAGGGAGGCATCTCCACTTCTTACGCTCAGTGGCAAGCTGAAATTATGACCTTTATAAAGTAGGAAAAAAATTCTGATTCTCACTTCAACAGAAATAGTGTAAATTTAGCAGGATTCTGTGACCTTTATTGAAACTATTCCAGTCTATTTGAACACACCAATTACAGTGGAATCCTCTTATAGTGGTTCACGGATATAGTAATCAACCACTTACAGTGTTCAAAAGGCTTGGGACGGAATCATTTCTATACAAATGCTGTTTAAATAATTTGTTATAGTAATCAAGAAATCCGGTGATAGTGTTCATTTTTGGCAATTTTATGAATGTAAACATGTGCAAAAATAATTAATATGTGGATCGAAAGTGATGAAAGCACTCCGGTGTCGGATGAGGATATCATTGCGGAGGTACAAGAGTGCTTTGGTGTGGGTACCAGTGCTGCGTGCAGCGAGGAGGATGAAGAAGAGACTGTTGTCACTTCCACAGCTGAGATGAGGAATGCAGTTTGCATTTTAAAGACTGTTCTTCTGCATGTTGGTTTCAAAAACTTTGACCTTTGACATCATTTTGAAAAAGATGTGAACTTGGTCTTGGACAACACTCTGATCCAGGTAACCATTGATAAATTTGTTAAGTGATTTCTTAATACGGCGCAGCAGATTCGCCACACAAAACAGAGTTATGTAAGCTTTAATTTTCTGTAGCGTATGCAGTTATCTTCTATGTTGTTGTTTTATGAAACCGTTTGTTTCAAACTTCAGACTTTTTAAAAAATGCACCAGCGGCACCAGGCTACCAGAGTTATGTCTGGGCATAGCGCAGTATACTGTAATTAAAGTTGCATGGTACTCTAATAAAATTCAGCACATACGAAAGCTATCCGTTTCATTTAATTTTTCTCATTGAAAAACCACACAAATGGGATTTAGATGATATTCTGCATAAAAAATAAGTGAAAAAACTGTAAAATCGGATATAGTAATCAACCGCTTATGCTGTTCAAATTGGCTCTGGACCAACGTGATCCCTATGAGCGGATTCCACTGTACCATAATTTATTTTATTAGTTATTTTTTTGGTTTTGCCCTGTCATTAAAAATCAGTTTTTAATGGTTTATGGCAGTGGTTTATCTGATATTGCTTTGGATTTTTTATGGCATACCCTCTCTTCTTCTTATAACCCATTTTGTTCTGGCTTTTTGTTTTCACTAATGCTTACATGCAAATAATCTCATACTTTTTATCATTAAAATCAATCAAATATATCTTGATTGTAACTTACAATCAATTAGTATTTACAGTTGTTATTTGTTTATTATACCCCAAATTTATAATTAGATTTTAGATTATTGTAATATGTAATATGTTAGAATGGTCATGGCTAGGGGCCCAGCTACCTACCATCCATTTTAACACTCCAGGTTAATGTGAAGCCATCAATGGTCAGATAGAAGGTTCGCAAATCCTCTGGTAAAATGCATGAGTTTTTCTGAGGGAAGAATCAAGACGATGCATACATTCAACATAACGGCAAAACGTTTTTCATTAAATTAAACTGGAGGGGCAGTTTTGATTCTACCTGCTCCCAGGACAGGAGGGTCTCTTTTTCTGCAGGGTCCCTCTCTGCGAAACGTACATCCATCACCCATGGCATTTTCTCTGGACCAAAAAGGACAAAACAATTTTTCATGCCAATACCAAACTTCTTAAAAGATAGTAGCTACATAAGTAGCTAATGAATATAACATGATACACACCGAGTATTTTAATAATTCCTAGGGTTAGCCACTCCGTCACACCTTTCGAAACAAACGCTTCTTTTTTGTCCTCCATTGTGACAGTTAATGGATATATATCAGCATAAATCTATCAGAAATATTCGGTATTGTTGCATCTGCGTCTAGTTGCAGCTGTGTTATTAATTTAAATGCAGAAAGGCAAAAGGGGAGGTTAGATGAAAAACGGACACATTTTTTAACCAATAGGAAAGTCATATCGATGTAGTTCACCCTATCAAGTTCTTAGTTGAAAAAAGGGGGCGGGGCTACCATTCCTTAGCAACGCTTGGCTCCCTGGGAGTGGTGGCGGTTGTTTCAATATGGCGGCGGCAGCGAAGAGAAGTGGAAATTCGAGGATATTTTGGATGAATGGCGGTAAATACACATTCATTTGACTTTCCACGCTTCACCGAGTATTTTACGCTTGTAAAATGTTCGCAAATTGATGCATGTTTGAAATGTATTTAGTTTTACGTTGTCTTTTTCTATGAGCAGTCAGCAGGAAAATTCAATTCAGTGAGAGGAAGTGATAGCCTCGTGAGACCATCCTGATCTCGCGAGCTTTCAGGGAAGTGAGGCAGCAGTGAGGCAAGGAAGTGAGGCAGCAGTGAGGCAAGGAAGTGAGGCAGCAGCTGGCTTCTTCATTTGGATAGATTAGTTTGTGTCAGTTTAGTTTCACATTTTTTAACGATTTCAGAAAATAATTACGATAATGCTTACTATAGTTGTTTGTACATCAATACTTAAGAGCATCTAGTAGTAGAAATAAAGCTAATGTAATGATACATAAAATAGTATACAATCGCATGGTTTAACTTTATTATTGAACTATAAGCTTCATTTAGCTATTAACTTCTAAACTCTAACAACTTGAACATATAGTTTAGCTATTTAAACCAGCTAAAATCATCTGTTGTACTTATGTTTCTCTATAAAACAAATCCCAGAAACAAAATAATTGACATTGTAAGCACCAGAATACTGTTAACTTTAGCATGATTGTATTTTCCAAATCAAAATGACAAGAGATTAATGTTGTAGATAAATATGTTATATTTGTAAAGGTCAGTATTATGCATCCTGTCCAATCAATCCAATTTTATTTGTCAAGTGCTTTAATGTTATAAATATGCTGCATTTTCTATATTAGTAATGTTCAATATTATGCATCCTATGTAAACTATCCAATCCAATATTCCTTTTAAGCACTTTTAAAACAACAGCTGATAAAGTGCTGTAGAAAAAAATATATCAGGTAAGAGACAAAAGGGCTCAAGTATGGGTTAAAGCAAGATTCACCCAATATCAAAGCAATAAAATTAGATAAAAAAAGACAAAGGATAAAATAAAGCTCGCTGTCTTGCTAGGTGTAAAAAGGCAAAGGGAAACCAGGTTTTCTCAAACGACAAAAAAAAAAAGACAGTCTTTCTGTTTTTTTTTCTTGTAGATGGAAAGTATTTCAATTTATAAATTTTTTTTTTATCTCAAATGTGTGTGTGAATAAAATGAAATGGTGGAACTTGTACTCAGGGTTATGTACTGTGAGAGTCTTTTACAAGCCCATGCTTGCCTTTCTTCAATCTATTAATATCTTAATATCTTTTCAAAGTGGTAATGTTTGTAATAAACCAGTCTGGCATTACGTAATAACACCTGAGAGATGTAGGAGAAGTATATGAAACTATTTGTTTATAAAGTTACCGGCTGGCAGAGATGGCAAAAGTACTCACTTTCCGTACTTGAGTAAAAGTACAGATACTTGTGTTAAAAAATACTCTGGTAAAAGTGGAAGTACTGATTAAACTTCTTTACTCAAGTAATCGTAACAACGTACAGGCTTGTAAATTTACTTAAAGTATAAAAGTAAAAGTAGAAACCACTTTTTTCATGCCGTTGCCTACATTTTAAATGGATGTCTGCCAATAGGACTAGATCTCCGTTGTGTTCATTTTCAATCATCTCGTCGTCCATACTACTATGCTAACGCCACCGTCACCAAGCTGCAATGATTTGCCGTGAACGAATACCGCCGAATCTGTCGATTCATCTTGTAGTGGTGCGTCAAATGCAACGTAGATTCCCATCCAATTAGATTGAATTTGGTATTGATGACGTGAAAAATAATAACGGTAACTCCATTGAAATGATTCAAAACTAAAGTAACGAGCCAATTTTTTTAAAATGTAAGGAGTGGAAAGTACAGATATTTGTGTAAAAATGTAAGGAGTAGAAGTAAAAAGTCGCCATAAAAATAAGTAGTAAAGTAAAGTAAAAATATCAGAAAAATCTACTTGAGTACAGTAACGAAGTATTTGTACTTCGTTACTTCCCATCTCTGCCGGCTGGTGGATGTGATAAATCAGGGAGCTAATAAAGAGCCTGCCCCCAAATTCTGTGAAGAATGAGCTTGCAGAAAATCTCCTAAAATGCAGGTCTTGTGGGGTGTACCTAGTTTGCAGTGGTCAAAGAAAGGAACAGTAGTGAAGATGTAAAAAAAGGTGATTGATGCTTAGTAGGAGAAAAAGCCCGGCCTATCAGGATTAAACCAACACATTATCTATTCTAGCTAGATTTGCTTGTGAAGTTAATGGTTATTCTGAAAGGCATTAGGTTGGATGTTCATGCTGGCCCCTTTCTACTGAACAACAAAGCAGAGGCAGAAGATGGGTCTAATCTTAGGAAACATTTTTAGAAACCACATAAATGCTTAGGAATCTGCTTTGCCTACATGGACCTCACATTACATCAAGATGCACTTCAGGAAGAGGGTAAGCTCGAGGTGCTTTGGACAATATTGGGTGAAACTTTGGGTCTTACTTTGGCACCTATCTGAGCATTGAAGCGGACTCTGTTAACCCTTTTAAAGAAAGAGCTCTCTCTGAAAACTGTAGTCTATTTCAGATGGGTAACTTGCTCCACTACAAACCAAAGAGGATTCAGGAATAGTTTAAGGAGCAGAACAAGTTTACCTAGATACTGTAGGGGTTTGAAGTATTCAATCAAGCCTTTGTGGGATGTGCAGGACAAATGGGTCCAATCCATGGACCACAAAGGACTCGGTGGGTGTTCTTAGTGCCAGATAGCAAAGCACACTATCAGGGCTCTTATGGAATCCATGCCTTGACAGTTCAGGGATTTTTTTTAGCAGTAAAAAGAGATCAACACATGATTACGCAACTGGTCATATTCTTATGGCTGAACCATACTTGCTGTGTGATCACCTGTGGGCTTATCTTTGCCATTTATCAAGAATTACTTAAAATGTATGTTTCATTATGTGTTTAATTTCTTGGCCAACGTACAGCACTTTGATCCGTGAATCCTATTTTAGGGCTGTTGTTTTAGGCAGTAACGCTATGAAGCCTTTAAAGAACTAATCAGAAGTGTAAAAATGAGGGCTATGTGATATGGCTTAAAATCTAATCTAATTTTTTCCCCCCTACAAAATCTAATTAATACTTTTTTCTCACTTGAGTTTCAAAATAAAAATGACAATGACACATATTGCTTTTAAAAAGTTAGCTTTTATTTTAATTATCCCTTCCGAAAGATAAACCTTGATTTAAAGGGCAACAACTGTGAAACATGCTGGAAAAATCATCACGTTTCATAGCAAACAATGAAAATATAACACTAAATGTTTGTAACTAGTGGTATTACACAGAGAAATATTTTATCAGTTATAAGTAGACATCTAAGAACAAAAATAGATATCTTAGGAGTGCATTGGTGGGAAAATAATTCAGATAAAAAAAAAAAGTAATTAAATGACAGATTCAATTAATTGCCCAGTCCTACTCTTAGCTATGGAGGAACAAAGAGAGAATTGGTAAAAAAAAAAAAAAAAAAACGAGAATCAAAAGAGCAAAATTGTTACCAACAAAAAGTGAGATTTATCGATTTTATTAATACTAGTTTAAATGTATTTTATTGATGCCAGAAAATAATCTGATTGTTGTTGTTGTCCGAAACTAGTTATCTGTGACAGGAAAATTAACCAATATTAAATCTTTCTCTTTGCTAGTGTCAGAATGGGAGCAGCCTTTAGCATTCGTCCCTGGTGAGTCCCATGACCTTTGGCCAATTTCTGGAGCATCTGGAATTTTTTTAACAAGCAGCAATTTTGATTATTGTTTCTTTCTGTACACTGTCTTAGGCGTTGATGGAGGACCACAGAGTGCGCCCCCTTTATGTCTAGGAACAAATGGCATATTTGCATCTGCTAAAAGAGGCACCAAGATTGAAATGAAGCATGTGTCTAATGGCAAAAAACAAGCTTCACAAAAAGCAACACAGAGACAACAAGGCCACTTTCAAAGTGATTACCCTGGAAGTGATACAACAAAGGAAGCATCAGTGCCTGAAAGGGATCCTGTGCCTGCCATGCAAAACCTCTCTCAACCCAGTGATACTTTTCTGCCTTTGCCACAGGTAAATCAATGTTTGATCTAGGCCCTGTTTTTTTCTATCTTCTTCAAAGGTAAATGAGTTCAGTATGTCGGGGCTGGCAGATATTCACTCTGCGGTCTGTTAATAACTGCATACCTATTAACTGTTATTATCCAGGTGAGCAGCAAAGCAAAGAACGACATATCTCTGAAGGATCTTTGTTTTGAAGACAAAAAGAGAATTGCACACCTCATTGAAGAGCTAGCCAGGTAGGTGAAAAAAAATATCATATAGAGCCTCTTTAAAGTATTACTAGTAATAAGCTTCTATAAATGGAATAATTACACATAATTCTACTTTGTACATCAAAATATCAGTATTTAATAACTCAGATTACCTGCAGACTATTTTTCCTTTCATTTACTTTAACAATGCTCTTTAATGGTTTACAGAGTAAGCGAGGAGAAAGAGGAGTCTATGCAGCGTCTGAAAGATGAACAGGGAAACTTTGAACGCAAGATCCAGGTGCTAGAGCAGCAGAACCTGATGATAGCACAGGAACGAGAAAGTATCCTTTCAGCTTGCTGGCAGAACATTTTGCCAACATTTAGAATATGGTATTTAAAATCTGTAATGTGTAACTTTTATTGATATGTCTAAATCATGTCAGGTGCATCAGATTAAATCAGAATATTATTGATAAGTGGAATATTAATTATAATATTTTTAGTAATTGAATAGGCAGTGATATATTTAAAGCATTTTTTTGTTTAATTAATTATTATGGCATACAGCTAAAGAAAATGTAAGAGGCAAACGTTTTCCATGTGCAGTGCAGTACATGTACTTAAAAACTGGTCCGGTCTTCTTTGCATGATTTACTACAGCCTGTTCCAATACCGAGGCGTAAAGGAAGAAATATTGCGTGATATTAAGTGTTTCCTCTCATCCTTGTAAAGAAAAAATGTCAGAGCATGTGTTTTGCCTATCAGTCTTAGTGATGCCATTTGCATTAAAGTAGGAACTGGTACATTTGACAGTGTGAACAAGAGCAAAGTCCTGCTGAAACAGGAAATAAACATCTATATTAAGTTTGTCAGCAGAGGTTTGCTGGAATCTCTCTAAAGTTCACTGGTAGAGAGCTGCACTTATTTTGAATTTGATGAAACAGTGGCCAATAACAAGGCTCCCCAAGTTATCACTGACAGTACAAACTCTAAACATTGCCTTACAAAGCTTAAATTCTGTTCTTGGGACTCACAAAAAGCCACAATTTTTCAAATGTAAATACCTGACATTTGTATTGATTGATGAGGCTGAATGACATCATTATCATTGGGCTCTATGTTAAGAGCCTGGTCATAGGTGAAAGGGTGTTTTTGATTTTAGCATCTGCATCCTCCAAGCACCCGGTCAACCTGGACTGGGTCCTTCCAGGGTCGTGAAAATAAGGAGGTCGGAAGAGTTTGGGTATGGATTCAAACAGGTCCGGCTTTTTCCCGAGTTTCACTGCCCCTTACTCACCGTACGCTCTGCCGCCTAGCTACCGTGACAGTTGACACATAAAGCAGGCAAAAAATGAATGTCGAACTTCTTTTTACTCTTCTGTATGCTAAATACATTTTTAAGGAGTTTCAGCAGCAGTACCGTCGTCACAAATATCAGATTTGCAGTCCCCATACTGCACGGAATCTGTGCTTAAATGTAGGGTTGATATAATCGTGATTAATCAATTATTGAAATAATTGTCAACTAAGTTAGTAATTGATTCATCATAACTGGAGTATAGAGACTCTAAAATGCCTTTACCTGACAGAGCAACCCACTTGAAGCATTAGTTATATCAAGATGGTTAAAAAAATTGTATATAAGCGTTTTGTTTTTAAGATAAAGAATTTTTGTTTTTGTTTCTGTCAGTATGCTCTATCCGGAACAGAAATAAATTAGACTGCCCACAGCCCACAGCAGGCTTTAGTCCACAGAGCCACAATTGCCTTTTTTTGTGGTCAAGGGGTATAAATCTAGACTAAAATGTCTCGCCCTTTTTCCAGAGAGAAAACCAGTGACAGACCCGCTGTCATTATGAGGTTTGTTAACAGAAAGAACAAGACAGCACTTAAATGCCAATAAAGAGGATTAGGTGTTTTGTTTTTTATCAATGAGAATGTGTTAAAGCCTAATGCTTCTAAGATATCATGCCACCTGAAGAAATATATACAAAACACACCTACAAACTATTAAATATCAAACTCAATGAATCACCAGAGGAGGTTAGAATACTGATGGTAAAGAACCTTAAGGAACTGGACAAATAGCAATAATTTACAGGAACTGGGCTGTAAGGCAATAACCCTGCCTGCAACCATAACACAAAGCACAAAACACACTGAAAATAATGTTACTTTCCCTACACCGATCACAATGTGTTGGACTACTGGCTTGACATGAACCCAGGATAACGGCCTCTTCAGCCACTTGTTGGCTTTCATTGATTTGCAGTAATTTTTTTTTTAAACTCTTTCTATACCCTATCCCTGGTTAGTTTATAATCTCCCTGAACCTTCTCCAGACAGATGTGGTGATGGTTGCAAAGAACTGGTCTTTGAGCCTCTGAGTATAGTCTGAGTATAGTTTAGATTCCTGTACCTCCTTGCTAAACCTGTAAATCTATGCCTGAATGAAAATGTGCCGCAACTTCTGAAATACCCTTTTTCTCCTAATAATAGCTCTCTGGGTTTGGCTGTAACCCAGAGTTTATCCTTCTCCTGACCCTGGTTGGTGTTGGTATTTAGTTGTCCTCGTAGAAGATGATGTAGGACGAAACAATGGTTACCTCAATGAAGTTGTTGGGAGCATTTCTGAAGATCTGATTTTTTTTTTGGATTTTTTTTTTTTTTGTTGGACAAAAAGTTGATAACCTGTTTATGCTTGGGGAGTTCTTGGTTGAGGTTTCCTGTGGTAAAGTCAACAAAGACAGTAACAATAGAGTCCTGGTTTGCTCCTCATCATTCCATTGGCCAGCGTGAGCTGTGTGTCATGCCTGTTGTCAGGCAGCGAAATTTAAAAACCAACCATAGTGAATAACCCAAACTCACAGGGGAGTAAAACAGTTTATAGTTAATGATAAAGAAATTCCAGATAAGGAGAGCAGTGCTGCTGCATCACTGTCACGTCGCTACAGCAGCTGCTGGTGATGTGTAAACAGATACCACCTCCCTTTGTTTTGCCGGAGATTTCTTAAATGCAGTTCGCTCTGAACAGTTGGAAGCCAGCCAGCTGCAGAGCAGAGAACAGGATAAGTTAAGACGGAGAAGTCTGCATGAACCACAGAACAGAAGATGAATAAAAGGCTCAGATTTTTCCCTACCTGTAGCTGAACTTTTTCCAGTATGTTGCACATGGAGGGCACATCGGAGAGAAGTATTGCCTGTAGCAGTGCGCAAAATATCCAGCTCCGTTTCCTCTCTTATGGTGCTTCACTGCACTCTCCAAAAATTCTGACTTTTTTTTTTTTTCTTTTCTGTCTTAATGACATTCATTACTATTGGGTATCAGATAAATTGCCTTATTTTCTGTCAAGGTTCTCTCTGTACTCTATTCTCCAGTAGTGTTGCTGCTCAACAGCTCTGAACTTGGCAAACCTTCCTATGACTATGTAGACCTTAGACTATAGCCAGGCCATATTAGAAATAATTATTTTACCACTCTGATCTAGTAATTTTATTCTCCAAGAATTGTAATTTCAAATTTGCATCAGCTGATACCATGATCATCAGAATTAGAAGAAATAAACACTTGAGATATGACCCTCTGTGTATAATGAATAAAAACAAATGCCCTTCTAATGATATTATAATTAATAAGAAATATTTATCTGCAGCTCATTTAGAATAAATTCAAGTTAATAAAAAATAGAATTAAATCTCTGGCTAAACTTTACAGATAAGGAATTCATGAACTTAAGGTTTTATTCAGGATTTTTTAATATGTTTTGAGTCATAAACCAAGGATATATTTAAATAACTATTATTATTTATTATCAATAATAAATACATCTTTTTACATATGCAAATATTAAAATGGACATTAAACGCCATTACATTAATAATATTCAGAGCTATCTGCAGGGGGCAGTGTTGTCTAATTTAAAGATACGTAAAGGCCCCTAGGCTAAAGCCGTCAGTCTGACACAAAAGGCAAAGAAATGGATGCATTTAGATTATTTGATGTTTGCTGCAGTTGTCCTTTGCAATTGCTTGCAGCTTATCCACTGTTGTGCTCAGAATCCATTTCATGGTTGGAGCCGGTGGTCTGGAGTGTCTGAATTATCTAACATGAGGTTGAATACTAACTCAGAGAAAAATTAGATGGTCTGATTTTTTTATTAATTAAAAAAGGTAATTGTTGCAGACAGTCAGTGAAAACTAAATATGAGCTTCCTGCACAGTTTAGAAAAACTTATATCCTAATATTTTTTACTTTTTCCGAGATACAAAAACTCTTGACATTCTACCACTGAAAAGCTCAAAAACCTTTGGAAGGAATTTTTAACGAGATACCACCCATCGATCAGCCATGACAGGTGCTATCTGGTTTGTTTTAGTTTAACGCGACTTCTTCATTTATTTTCCCTGAAATAAATCTCTATATTTTGACCGAAAAACTGATTTTTGACCGATGACTGTTTGATTATAGGGCATACTTTTAGTGGTTCTTTAATAACACCCTGTCTGATGGGATAATGAAACCGCCATCCAAAGAAAACCTGTTTGAGATCTGCTTATCTTGACAGATAAAGACCAAGATCTTAGAGATGCACTGACTACTGGTGAATTTTCTGTCAATAATTTTCTAATCTGTAGGCTAAATTCAAAATTTATATGGGCAGTACCACCCCAGGTTAAATCAGGTTCAGCACTGGACAGGGCCTTTGGTGACTGCACAGCAGGGGCAGACAAGGCGCCAGCCATTTCAGCACTGGACAGTACCACCCCAGGTTAAATCAGGTTCAGCACTGGACAGGGCCTGTGGTGACTGCACAGCAGGGGCAGACAAGTTAATTGTTTTGCTGAGGGCTTCTGGGGGCCTGCACATCACTCAACCTGTGAAACCCGTCCATTAAATTCTTTCCAATATTCCAGAATTTAACCCTTTGCCATTAGCCAGCACTTCAGACAGGACCCTAACTCCTTCAACAGCGCCCATACGAGGCCTTTTCTGAAAATAAAACAAAACTTAGAACACATCCTTTTTTCTTTTTAATTTTATTTTTCTTATTTGACTTCAATAAAGAACACGTAAGAGTTAAAGAAATCTGCGCTGACACAAATTTTATTTATTCTGTTGTTCCTTCTTCGTGGATTTAAAACCACAACCTCCAACAAAGAACATATCTCAGTTTGCTTCTCTTGTGTTTATAACGTTTTAAAAAAAATAAAATCAGCCAAAACCGGAACCAGTAGTTCTTACATCTAAGAGTCACATTAAAATTAATTAGAAATCTTGTTTTCAGGTGACTTGTTAATAAATATGTTAATGCATAAAAGGAAATCAAAATCAGCTTCAGAT